ACCATCCTGATAGCAGCTGAAATAACCTCATCTCCCACCGCTCCTGTGACCAGGCTCCTGTGCAGAAGGAGGCCTCCCTCAAATTTGCTGCGAGCCCGTTATCAGCACACCAAACATAATCCACTTCAAAATATTAAAATAATGGCAAGCACAAGACGGGGTCATTTTTCAAACCCAAGCACAGCTTCTACAAGCTGCGTGACGCTTGTTTCACAGAGGTCACGTTGCGTTTGCAGGACCCAAATATTGTAGGAAGCTCTTGACACACCACTCCCAGAAAGGCAAACTGCTTGCAGAGCCCTGTGCACACGCAGAAGGACCCACCTTTTGAAGATTTTAGGCCATTATAAAAGCGTAGTTAAAATAATCCAGATATAAAGATGCTGGTACTCGAGTAGTTTGACTCTCGAGAGAAAACTGGGCGTCGGAGGTATCATTTGTAGCATTGAGGGCTCAGGAAATCACAGCAGGATCTTCCAGCTGAAAACAAAGTGGTAGGCATGAAGCAAATTATTGGGGTTGAACTGGGGCCAAGACATTAGTAATCACGGGGAAGTGCCATGACTGACGCATTACTAAGGTCTTCGGGCAAGGAATCAATCACATTTCACCTCAGGTGCTTGGTGCTGCTTCCCCTCCCTTTCCTCAGGCAGCTGTTGGAAAGGTTATTTCCATGAAAGTCCTCCATGGCTGCAGGGCCAGAAATCCTGAATGCATAGCCCAGGGCAGTTTCTGCAATGATAAACTGGCCAGATAAGCTGGCGGCTTGGCCTAGGCCGGGTGTGGGCGCAGGTACCACAGCCACCTCCGAGGCACAGTCAAAACCAGCGGCAAGGCCTGCCCTCCCCTGCGGCAGCTCTGGTTTGCCCCGCGAACGCCTTCGCCGGGCCACACCATCAGGAACAGGCTGGGGCACACGCCCTAACTCCTCGTCTTGGGAAGCTTTGATTACCGCAACCACAGACACCTCGACACGGACTTAACTAGGCCAGAAGGGTGATTCCATGACCATTCAAAGGCAAGAAAGGACACGTGTTGATGCAGTACCAGCAGGAAAGCACGCTAACCCTTTTTAGGGGTGTTCCAAGCATAGCACACGATGCTGTACAATCACAGAATCACAGAATGGTTTGGGTTGGAAGGGACCTTAAAGACCATCTAGTTCCCACTCCACTGCCAGGGGCGGGGACACCTTCCACTAGACCAGGTTGCTCAAAGCCTCATCCAGCCTGGCCTTGAACACTTCCAGGGATGGGGCATCCACAGCTTCTCTGGGCAACCTGTTCCAGTGCCTCACCACCCTCTCTGGGAAGAACTTCTTCCTGATATCTAATCTAAACCTCCCCACTTTCAATTTAAACCCATTACCCCTTGTCCTGTCACTACAGGCCCTTGTAAAAAGTCCCCCCCAGCTTCCTTGTAGCCCCTTCAGGTACTGGAGGCTGCCATGGCAATGGCAAGCACCCCTCTCTTGCAGAAATGCTAGATCCCATAGCCAGTGCTCCCGAGAAGTTTCCCTGTGCACACAGTGAGTCAGGATAAGACCAGCTGTACTTGCCAGGTAAGCAACTGCTCCTCTTCTGAATGTGACAACAAGATTCAAGTCATGCAAACCACCAAGACATACTGCAAATTTTATTTTTTATTTCCTTATTACAGAAACTAAATTAGCATATGCCTACATCTTGATTGAAACAAATTCACCACCGCAGGAAAAAAAAGAGCATTCTTTTTATTCTCTAAAGCACACCTGTGAACACAGAACAAAGCCTAATGTCAGTACATAAAAGCTGCTTCTTAGTGCACCTCTGCATTGCAGTTTCTCCACTAGTTCTTTATAAAAAAAATCATTACACCTCAGGTATTTATACGTGCTTGCATTAGGCTTTGCATAACCCACCCATAACTCAAGTCACTTCTAGACGTCAGGTAAGAAGCTAAACCAAAAAGGCCCCTTAAGTTTGCTTTATTTACAGTTTCAATGGCTAGATTTTAAATACTTTACAGTCACTCCCAGCACTGGCTCCCACTTCGAAGGGTTAGTGCATTCCATGATTTCTTTACAACTATTCTCTAGAGGGGATTAAGTTGTTGTCCATACCTACAGCTACGTAGGCACCTCAGCTATCTAATAAAGTACCTTATAGGAAACAAACATGCTGCCAAAAATACTCATAATAATGATCAACGCATGAGAAACTCAGCCTTTGGGAAGAACAGACAGGCCCTTGGGTTTCGTGCTGCAGTCACGGACTGTGGGAACAGCAGCAACGTGGGAGAAAGAGCGGTGGAGGAGCGCTGAAGTCCAGAGCGGAGGTCTCCAGTTCCTTTGTAGAGATTTCTACATTCAGCTCTCACCTCCTCTTTCACCACGTCTCCCCCATTAGAGTTTTGTTAAATCATCAGGCAAATTTCTGAACTGCACTAATGATGCACCTGCAGAGGCAGACCTGCGTTACCTGAAGAAAGGCAGACCTGCTCCTCTGGGTTTTAGAGTTTACGAGTGGATGCAGATCTTGTGGCAAGTGAGAAACTGCTGTAAAGATTAGCAAATGGGATGCACATGCATTTCTCTGCTCTTACATACTTCCAACACCCAAACGGAAGGAAGAAGTATCTGTGGTTCAGGTAGGTCCAGAAGACTTTTTCTTTCTTACATAATAAGGTAGATTATTTAGCACATTCCAGGTTAAAAAAATTACAGTAAACATTCAGTAACTGGAATGCATATAATATACAAGTACCATTACATTTACAAAGCTGTTCAGGACGATTTTTTGTTCTAGAATAAGCATAAAAAAGTTACAGGCTAATTCACAATAACTTTAGATACAATGTTATTAAAATACATTGATGTTAATCATAAAAATATTTTATTATTTACATGTACATTGTATAAACCTTAACAATAAGAATATGCCCATTTTTTAGGATGCCTGAAACAAGTATTTAGGCAGATTGGACCATTTTATAGTGCAGTATCCCTGTTTTGGTCTTCACACCATGAAACTGTACCAGATTCACAGTATCTTTACTAAAAGGCTTAAACTTTCTATTATTTAAGAAACATTCATTCCTTACAAAGAGCCGGTTTTGTTTCCGCTTTGCTTCTTATTAAATCCTACCCCCAACAGTTCAGGACACTCTGCCTGGCCTTGTGCGATTTGGTTGCATTTCCAGATAAGGCTGTAATTCATTTCATCCGTTATCACGCTGTCTTGCTTGTAGTCTGGATGCTGTGCGATGAATTCCCTCATCCATCGAGCAACCGTCATCAATTCTCCTGTGGGCAAGGGGAAGTGGAATTTCACAGTTTATACATCTAATTCAGCAGCGCAACACCTGAAGTTCTATGCATCACACACACAGTTAATGTACACCCCGTGCTTTTCACGAGAAACACGTTCCTACACGTAAATCTTTACAAGTAAGGCTGAACTGCCAGCATGATGAAGCTGGCGTATCGCTGAGAGTCTAAACACCACTTGTCTGGTACCATCTTCCCACCTTCAGTTGTGGTAACGAGACAGCGCAGAGAGAAGTCGCTACTGGAACATGGCTTAGTGGTGGATTTGGCAGCGTTAACAACAGCACTTGATTTTAAAGGTCTTTTCCAACCTAAAAGATTCCGTGATTCTACCGGAGCAGGTGTTACCAACAGATTGCACGGCAGGTGATCTTACACACGTCACTTAACAGAGAATCTGGCTGAGACGAACCAACAGACACCCCTACAAGTCCATACACATCAAATAATTCTGCAGTTGATCCAACCAACTCAGCCGCTAGCTCTGCTCTGTCTACCTTGACTTACTATTCCTTCTCCCTCTGGCAGCTCCCTCTAGCTACAAACAGGCAAATTCCCAATTACACCAACCCCTCTGCTTTGTACACGCTGCCTGCGCTTCGCTACGCAGCCCACGGGGCAGTCAGCGGGTGCCTGAGGGTCCTGGACACGTCTATGCAGCGTCATTCAGTGGCACACGGCACTCGCAGTAGACCTGCATCCTACCAAGTAGGGGCTGGAGGCCAGCTGGACACCAGTGTCTGGCTACTGAATCCTGCTCCCGAGTGCAGCGTGTGCACGCAGACCTCAGCAAGTACAATAACTCTGAGTAAGACACTGAAATAGGCCAACGGGGTGCTCGAAGAAGCTAGCAAAACTTTAATTGCTAGCTGCTGGAACCTCACCTCCCTCGTAAAAGTGGAAGGAGTTGAGGACTGCGTGCACGCAAACCTCAGCAAGTACAATAACTTAACTCTGAGTAAGACACTGAAATAGGCCAACGGGGTGCTCGAAGAAGCTAGCAAAACTTTAATTGCTAGCTGCTGGAACCTCAGCTTCCTCGTAAAAGTGGAAGGAGTTGAGGACTGCCACTACAGAAACCTTTGGTTTAAGAATATTATAGAAAGCTATAGGAGTCATGTTAGGGAAAGCAAGGAGGAATACACACGTAAGTAGTAAAAAACAGCCAAGACTGTTTATAAAGATATCCTATCAGTGGTTTTGAACAGAGGTACATGAACGCAAATCAGAAAAGTTGTGAGAAGTACAGGAAAGAAAATAATAAAGAAGGTTTTTCAAAATAAAAATGTCCCTCAGAAACCAGAAATTTTAAAGAAACGAGGCCACAGTTTACACTTCTATCTAAACAGAAGGCAGAAAAAACAATACCCAGGAAGCAGTATTTGTTGAAGGCACTAAAAAAAAAAAAAATCACACTTTCTTAAACCAACGAGAAGCAGGGGGCTTGCAAGAAATTCCGTTGGGCCAGAAGAGCAGAGCACGAAGAGCAGTATTTCTGGAGAAAAAGCGGCTGCGGGAGCTGGGAGAGCAGCCCAGCTCACCCCAACACAGACATCTAGTGGTCAGGCAGCCCAATAACCCCCCCCGGCCTTCGTATCCGCAGCACCTTCATCGGGAACACAGCCCGCAGCTCTCCAAGAACCTACGGGAAAGGCACCACAGGCTGACAAGAGGCACGAGACAACTTCCAAGCAAGCAAAGAAAACAAAGGTTTGGAAGCGTTTGGAAGCAACAATCCCCTCTACGTTTGCAAAACTCAGGAATGTGGATGAGAAGTGAGTAGAGAAACATTATGCTGCAGTGCAGGAACTACTAGAAATGTCATCAAGTAACTGGGAAGAACATTTAAACAAGCACAACTACAGGAATCACATTTTTTCAAAGAGCATATAACAAAACTGTGTCATTTCTTATCGTATAACTTTCTGGGGACAAAAAGTGTAACTGCTTCAAGAAGGATAAGGCAATGCCCACGGAACTGGTGTTTGTGCAGGGTCAGCAAGCACCATGATGACCGCGCCTCCTCGGGCCAAACACGGCTATGCTGCAGGCAGGCGGGAGCCGGGAGAGCACCCTGGGACAAGGATCACTTGACAGAGTCCAGGAGGGCAATGCCCAGCTGTGCTGCCAGAGAAGATGCGACTGAAGCACAGGTGAACTATGTCAGGGGGCAAGGTTACAGCCACAGCAGCTTTGGTGTTAGTGGTTATCTCCGAGTGCTCCGTGTTCGTCGTTTGAGGAGACAAACCTGAAAAGCGGCCACTCTTTGTGGACATGTCTCATGCTAGACAGGCTGCAGTTCAGGAACGTCTGATTTAAGACTGACAGTAAACTGCAGTAAACCAAGCTCACAACAGAGAAAACATCCTGGAAAAGTAGTATAGGTCAAGGGAGGGGATCCTCCCCCTCTACTCTGCTCTTGTGAGACCCCACCTGCAGTGCTGCATCCAGTTCTGCAGAACTTGGAGCAACCCACAGAAGGTTATAGACCAGTTGGAGCGAGTCCAGAGGAGGCCACGAAGATGCTCAGAGGGCTGGAGCACCTCTGCTATGGGGACAGGCTGAGAGAGTTGGGCTTGTTCAGCCTGGAGAAGAGAAGGCTCCGGGGAGACCTTATTGCAGCCTTCCAGTACCTGAAGGGGCTACAAGGAAGCTGGGGGGGACTTTTTACAAGGGTCTGTAGTGACAGGGCAAGGGGTAATGGGTTTAAATTGAAAGTGGGGAGGTTTAGATTAGATATCAGGAAGAAGTTCTTCACAGAGGGGGTGGTGAGGCACTGGAACAGGTTGCCCAGAGAAGCTGTGGATGCCCCATCCCTGGAAGTGTTCAAGGCCAGGCTGGATGAGGCTTTGAGCAACCTGGTCTAGTGGAAGGTGTCCCTGCCCATGGCAGGGGGGTTGGAACTAGATGGTCTTTAAGGTCCCTTACAACCCAAACCCTTCTGTGGTTCTAATACAATGCCTAATGCTTTTCATTCTGTGAATGCTGGTCCTTTATGAAGCATTATGTAAAAATCATTTCAGAACATCCAAGTTCAGACATAAACCCTGGACTCTATCTACCTCACTCTCACACCTTTCAGGTCTGTGTAAAGAGACAAGATGACTTTTGCAACGCCAGCAGCTTCGCACCAAGCGGCTTCTTTGGAAGCGAACAGCTGCCGCACCGCATCCAGGCCAGGCCATTCGCTGTTGGACAAAACCTTTGTAAGCCCTACGCATTCCTTGTTTTCTCAACAGCATTTTTCTGAGCAGGAAAAACTCAACAACAAACAATGGGATATTTGAAAGCATTGCTATTTTAAGAGCTGATGTGCCCCAGATGTTTTCTTCCTGCCAGCTTCTCTTCTCTCCCACAGTTAACCCAAGCATCAAATCCTTGTCTATGTTACTTGAGAGACAGAAGCCTCCTACAAAGCAGCCTTAGGAAAAAAAATTTATGGTGAGAGATGTAATTAATCAAAACTTGTTACTCTTCTGAAGAGGTGCCAAAACACTGCATAACCACCCTCAGAGAAAGTCCTGATTTCCACCTCAGCTCTAAAAATGTCTTTACCTAGAAGCTTCTACAGCAAATTTCAAGAATTAAAAAGGAATGCAACACCAATTTAAAACCAATGAATATATTTAATTTTGGGGATGTGTGTGGGGAGGTAAGTCTTGATTTATGAGACTAAAATTAACTGTCTAGCTAAATTTACAGCAAGGCAGACATTGCAGGGGTTTGCACATAGACTGGCATAAAGCTGCTGAAGTCTGCTACACAGTTCTGAATTAAAGTTTAGCTTTAATTAAAGTTTAAATTGTAACTGTATCAATGACTCCTAATCTAAGTTCTAAAATGGATTATGAACCATTTATAAAATCAGAATTAGGCGGGACCAGATTTAAGCCACAGAACGCATTCTAGTCCTTTGCTCCTGTGATTCAACACTTCAGACAGCCACAGCTGCCACCAGTTTTACCCAGCTGAGAACCAGAGAACACCCCAATTACTGTCTAAGTAGAGAAACACCAGGAAAATCAATGTCCGGAAGTTTCAAACATACCAGATGCTCTCTTTTTTATTAGCTTCAGGTAGTTCAGGATGGTGCACCTTGTGTCCACATCCACTTCCATGTTTTCAAGATAGGAATTCAAAATTGGGATCAAACCAGGAAAGACTCCTTCCTGTGTGAGAGAACAGAGTCAGCATAAAGCATGCTCGGATCTGATTTCTGGGAGGGTGGAGTGGAGGGGAAGGTTGTGTGTTCCAGGTAGAAGAGGCTATGACCTTCCCATTGATAATTGTATCAATGCTCATTAAGGTGTACTCTTCCGCGTCGGCACCTGTCCCGTTCTGTGCAGAGCTACATCCATCCACAACAGCGTTTCCACCTGTATGGGTGACAAAGGGAAAGGAAGCACCAGTTAGAAGGTAAGAGACCCAGTCAACACCCACAACAGTGTTCATCAGATTGCTTGCTGCCGTACCTTTGCAAATATCTTTTCTGAAGTAAAACATTCCCTGCCGGACAGCATCTCTTTTCTGTGCCATCTTCATGTTTTCATCCACCTGGCAAAAGAAGTATTTTAGAAATCTGTTGAATTTTAGAAAATTAGGATTCTCCCAACTTTCACATTTCGACCTCATTAGTTGAAACATCTACTAATGTTTTTGATTAGTGTGTCACACAAGGCCAAGCTGTGGAGATAAGTTCTGTTTCATTCTTCAGGGGTCCCGGGCAAAACCACAAAGAGATGACATTAGGCCTCCAGCAGAAAAGGTAAAGGTATTATGTTAGAACATGCTACGCTAATCTTAAGTTTGGACGAAGACACAGGAACTGCTGCAACTGGCAGGTTGCATCCCACCCAGCAGACTTCTTTGCGTATTTAGATGCAATTTAGATGCGTTCTTCCACAGAAGAAGAAAATTGCCGTTTCCCCAATGTTTGCTGCTTTTATTAACAAAATCGTTGAAGTCTTATGAAGAGCTGTCACTGAATTAAACTTTCAGAAACAGAATTCCAATAACTTTGAATGGGAATCGTTCCTATTCCACACTCAAACATCCATTAGCCAAACCTAGACTGCCCGTAAAGCAGCTCTAAATTGCAGGCTTCTCGGAAAGCCTACAGAACACTGCTCATACACGCTGCAAACGGCATAGTCTTGCTCTGAATGGAAGATTTTGTCCAAGTTCTTTGGTCAGTATGTTCTCAGGGAAATTACGAGCACACAGTTTTCGGACAGCAGCTCTACTGTAGTATCTCCCGAAGAAGGGATATGATTTGCTGCGTTCTTTGACCTTTAATTAAGGGCAATGCAAAAACAACAACCAACCAACCTACGCTTACCTCTTACCTTTCAAAGCTTTGTTTTCGTTCATTTTATATTATGAAACCTATTTACACGCCAGGCTGTTTTGAAAGTTTAAAAGAACTCCAGTCCTCGCTGACGGGAATACAACCGCACTCAATCCGACAGCAAAGATTAGTATGAGATTAGCCCCATAAACCCATATTATTTTACTTGAAAGAGGCAGGCTTATCCACAGTTGTGCAACTCCGTGGTGCATTACGCGCCAATTTGCTTGGCAAGCTCAAGCAATTTTATGCTCCTCCCCCCCACTACCCCCCCCAACTCTGTTCAGGTTCTTTTGGCAACCCAATCTTTTTCAACCTTTTGAGCTTTTGGGACATTCCAAACAATAATATAATAATGCACTGTTAAGTGCTGAATTGCTGCATTATTTACAGAATCTGAACTCTCTGACATCAGGAAGATAATTCCCCTTTTTATACATCATACCAACTGTACGGTGTGATTACCATTAAAAGTATTTTTTTCTCCATTTTCATTAAAAACATCAAGAAAAGCAGCAGGATACTACTGCTATGCTGCAGCCAGTGCTGGCAGCATTTTCTAGTATACAGCCTGTCAAAAGTCTGCTGTGCCACAACACTTCTTTTTAAAGGATTTGCAGGATTATCCATGCGAAAAAGAAATTTTTTGGTCAGGTACCTCAGGAAGGGGTGCAAGGAAAGTTCCACTTAAAACAACCTCAGCAGTTGAGGACAAGATAAAGGAAAAAGCACATTTTCCACGGCTGTGTCTAAACACAAGTCACAGTTGTGACCAGAATGAGCAGTATTTGTTTTCCCTCACATACTGTGCAAGACTAAGCATGCTGAACTCCTTTCCCTCTCCACCAAATGCAAACAAAAGAGAATGAGAACACCAGACATCGGCAACAGACATGTTAAAATAAATATCTACGGAAGTTTTTATTTTCACCTCCACAGTTTTTTTTTTTCCCCACATGTAAAATGGTGGAAACATGCCTTTTGCCAGTCTAAAAAGGGTTTTGCACGGATACATGGTATTTATAAACATTTCTGCAGCAGTCAGATACTGCTAGGCAGCACAGAAATTCCCACAGTATTTGTCTATAAGCTTAATTCCACAAGACAGCAGTAAAATATTTGTTTAATGTGGTAGAGTTGAAAATGAGTCAAAGCAGTGGTACAGATGAAAACTGGCTGAAAGATAAAAATGACTGTTCTGCAAGTGCATAAGCAGCAGCTCCTAGCTTGCAGAGGATAAAAATCAGACTTGATGCAAATATGTTGCATTTAGGTCTATTAGATCTGCTCCTTCACACCTACCTTGGACAAAGGGATGAGAAAATCCAGTTTATATGACAGAATCACTCTGGTTAGCAATACCACGAACACAACATACGCAGAGTTTTCAAAGTCTGTTAACTGGACCTGGACATGAAAGGATCAGAGATTAAATTACTTTAGTGGGAACAGACTCATGGAAGTGGATAAGTATCTGAGAGAGTTGAAAATGGTTTGACTCGAATGTTCATGCTGGTACTTGTGTTCACACAGACTCTACCAGCAGAGAGGGTGATGCATGAGCTGGAATCATCGGCAGTGACTTCAAATGCACAAGGCACGCACACGCTCCAACAAACCCTTTAATCCAATGCCAAAACACACTTGCGTTTCAAAAGACTATCTAATAACCTGCACCTTCAGGCTCTCTGGAATTACAGATGTATAATAGCTTTTAAATTTCCACTTTAAAGGGATTAAACCCAGAGAGCTCAGAAACAGACAGCTATAAAATAAAAGCGCTTGCGCAAAAACCAAAACAATGACAGTGGAATTGTTCAGTACCAGAAAAAGTACTGGGGAAACACAGTCCCTGGAAGCTAAACAGGGCTTTGTTTACTGTTGCTTTAACACAAGCCTAATTCCTGTCCCCATCACCCCAAATCCATTAGCATGCCTTGCTGTGCTGCAGTGGATTCTCCTGTCAGAAGCATTCCCACAGTCCGTGTCTGATTAAATGCTGCTGTCCACTTCGCTTGCGTCTAGCGATCCAGAGGGGAAGAACACACAGCAGAAGCACCAAGGGTTTGACATGGATGGCAGAATGCCTGGTACTTTTCCACTTAAAAAGGAAGCGTGCTTTTGTGCATACTGACGCCTTCCTTACCTCCATAGGTCTGAATTCCACCCTCCACCCAATATCTGAATTCGGAGGAGGTGGCTTAAACCTCATTGTCTGCCAGTTTGTAGACTGAATATTCTGCAAAGCACAGGAAATAATCTGTCACAATCAAGGTATTCATCACTCCATAACAGAATCAAAGAAAGAATCAGATAACGAGAGACTGAATATTCTCCCTGGGACAGCCCATCAAGTTAGAGAAGTGCTTCCAAACTGTGTGGCATGTCTTCCTCAAAACCAGTATAACCACCCATCCTAGGAGCAAATACGTTACGCTTTCTCAGGCGATTTTGTTTGAGGATTATGTATACGATGCTAGAAGGCTGAAACTTAGCCTTTATTTTTTTTTTATGAGGGGTTGACACATCCCAAAATAAAAATCTAATATTACCGTATATATTATTTCATAAAACCGTATAAGAGAAACATTTACACTTCAACATCATGCAAGACATGCATAGGAAGCATATAAATAGACAGTTCCACGTAAGCTTTTTAGGAAGCCATGAAAACAGACAGTTCCACATAACACTTACATACACAGCTATAGCTTGGACCCTTCATATTTTATTTGATTATATAAGTACACTATTATAGTATACTATTATATATGTATATAAGCATACTGTAAATATACTATTACAGTATACTTTTAAAGTATAAGCTACCACCTTCGCCTAAAAGGACAAAAGAAAGAAATAAATTGCTTATACCCACAGAGTCATAAGCGAAAAAACTAGGGGAAGTGAGAAACTCAGTAAATAAAATTTCTTAGCTAACACAGTCATCCTCCAGCTAAGCAGTACCATAAAGAATAAGCAATTCTATGTATATCTTTATTATATTCCTCTGAATGAGACACAACCTCAAAGTGGTCGGATTCATTTGCATCATCTAGATGTATTTTCTCCTCAAACAAAGTCAATGGGTCTCGAATGAACAAGTGTGCAATATGCTGTGCCAAAAGGTGGTCAATACCTATGGAAAAAAAAAAATCAAACAATTCAGGCATAGCAAAGCAGGCTCTAGGAAATGGTTTGTTTTACAAGACTGAAAACATCCAACTCTGCAATGCTACCTCAACCCACCACATCCTGTTAAACGATGACTTCGGGAAGGAAGGAAATTATTAAACCAAAATAAAAAAGGAGATTTGGAAATGGCAGCTACTGGTGTGGCTACCAGTCTTCCTGTTTCTGATGCATCTCTCTGCCACCTTTCCTAAAGCAGTTCTGCTCTCTCCACAAAGATAAAACATTAATGCTTCAAACACTGAGCTTCTCAAGCTGGAATTAGGGACAGTTTCCATTACAAACAAATACTTTAAAAAAACAAACAAACACCTCCTCTCAGGACCACACTACACAGATACTTTCTGAGTAGGAGTCACTGAGGGATGCACAATGCCTGAAACAAACAAGAACAAAGCCGTAAAATATCCCCACACACACTGCAAGCATAATTCTTAACCTGCTCATAATGAAGCAAACACTTACCTTCCTTTATTAGGTGCTCGTAGATATCTTTGTCTATTGTCAAATCAATGTCATTGTATTTCTCACCACATTCAGATAGATAACTGTCTATGGAATCATATCTGGATTTACTGATTCTATAATGGTTGTTCTTCAGTGGCTATATAATTTAAGAATACAATATTTTAACAGCTTGTTAACAATGTTACCTAAGTTTTGCTCACTAATGACACTTATGTGAGAATTATTATCCTGTTTATAAAAAACCTATAGCCTCAATTAAAATTATTCAAAGCTTAATTATTCAAATAGTCTTAATAGAAAGCGACCCTGGAATTATGACTATTTTGTTTGCAGATGTATGTATCTCAGCGAAAAAAAAAGTCACCACAGATTGACTAGAATTCTCTATAAGTGGAAACATTTTCCTGATGTAATGTACCATCACCCCAAGTACCTGGAAAGCATGGTAATACTGACTGCAACACATACCAATACAGTTTCACTATGCACACATTGTCAGGAGATGCTCTTAAAACAGGTAGTTCAAGAAGTATTTCAGGTAGATTTATTAAAATGATTTTCTAAAATTTAAGTGCCTTGAATATCGATTCCCGCCAACAAAAGCTCCTTACGTTCAAATTCTGGTAACTGGCTCTTTTCACATAGTTGTAGTTTATACTACTGGATTACTCAGTAGCACCTGCTACGTAATCCAAAGCAATTTTTTGCCTTCTGGGATCAAGCACGGGCTGAAAAGTTTCACCACAGAGAGACCTTTTCAGCAAGCTGTGGAGGAGTGAGTAGAGTCTTCCATATTTTTAGTTAGGTATGGAATCCCAGTATCTGCTAACATACATAAACAGTACTACCAAGGTGAATGTTCACACCACCTCTCCTGTATTTACCACAAAGACTGCCATATTCCGATTCTGACAACCACAATCAGAATTTGACACTAAAGATGATACCTGGATTTTTTCAGGAAAAAAAGCTGTCTACTACCTAACATTACTTACCTCTAGCCCCCTCTCTTCTCGCGTTCGATCATCTACAGATGCAGAGATTACTCCCCAGCGACAGTCAATATCAGACACGTAGCCTCTGTAGAAGGGAGATGCAGCACTCAACGCCATCTAAAAATAAATCGGCCTGATATGAAAACAAAGGACAAGCCAAGGAACCAAGACACAAGCCCCTTGGAAAGGGAAACTTGCTGGTTCAAAAGTTAACTGAAGTACCTGCTTCAGTCCAATACACAATCAAAGCCCATACAACCACAGATCTCCCAACTGCTACCTCCAGAAAATGCCTAGATGAAGAATTAGTATTACTGAAGTGGCATCTGATGCTCTCCAAATTTCTTACCCCTACAGAGCAGCATTTAAGAAACACAGAGATAATATAGGAAGAAGAAATTTTGTGACAAATCAGCCTGCATACTTCCAGACTCCAAAGGTCACCTGGCAATCACTTGTGGGTTTTTTTTTCCCTTTGTATTTTTGTTTGGCCAAGCACCCTAGCAACACAGCTGGAACACGCCTCACTCAGATCTGTTCACCACCCAGACCAGACCAATGCCCTTCTAGTCTGCTCTGGTGAGACCCCACCTGGAGTGCTGCGTCCAGCTGTGGAGCCCTCAACATCAGAAGGATATAGACCAGTTGGAGTGAGTCCAGAGGAGGCCACGAAGATGCTCACAGGGCAGGAGCACCTCTCCCATGGGGACAGGCTGAGAGAGTTGGGCTTGTTCAGCCGGGAGAAGAGAAGGCTCCAGGGAGACCTTATTGCCCCTTCCAGTACCTGAAGGGGCTACAAGGAAGCTGGGGGGGACTTTTTACAAGGGCCTGTAGTGACAGGACAAGGGGCAATGGGTTTAAATTGAAAGTGGGGAGGTTTAGATTCCATATTAGGAAGAAGTTCTTGCTGGAGAGGGTGGTGAGGCACTGGAACAGGTTGCCCAGAGAAGCTGGGGAGGCCCCATCCCTGGAAGTGTTCAAGGCCAGGCTGGACAAGGCTTTGAGCAACCTGGTCTAGTGGAAGGTGTCCCTGCCCATGGCAGGGGGGTTGGAACTAGATGATCTTTAAGGTCCTTTCCAATCCAAACCATTCCATGAGTTTTCTAACACCAATTTATAACCTGTTTATAACCACATGTTTACGAAAGTGACAGATTTAAACAAGGTAAGCTGAAACTCTCTGTATCACCAGACCAGAGCTGAAAAATTAATAACTGTTTTAAGGAGAAATCTTGTCTTTTTTTTTTTTCCCCCCAAAAAACTGCCCCAAATATGTTCCTAGAATTATTCAACAGGAATCTTGTGCATGTGGGAAGGAGAGCAGAAGAGACGAAAGACATCATCATCTGCTTTGTGGTGCCATTTGGCCATGAAATAAATCACACTACTCATTTCAACCTATTAAGACGCTGACACTTCTCAGAGAGTAACAAATTTGAGTAGCATTCAAGGTTTTTGTTAATTTAGATTGTATTTTTTTTACATGCAGTGGCTTTTGCATAAAGAAGAACTCCTGTGAGAGTGTTCCACTACTTACCACAATGGGACAGATCGTGGCTAGCTGATCATAGAGATACCTTGCTTCAGAAATGCTGCAAGCCTGGAACGTTACCTGTTGGAAGAAGTACAATTGCTATCACAATTTCTATAACCAAGGCACAAGCACAGTCTTCCTAGAATTAGAATCAATACTATCATAAAAAGATTTAAACAACAAAAATTTTAAGGTTTTTTTTGGTGGGGTTTTTTTTTTCGTTGGTTTTGGGTGGGGTTTTCTTGTGGAGGTTCCGTTCCCACCCTCTAATTCTCAGACAAACTTTTGCCCCACCTGTCAGCAGCACTCATATCACAAGCTTCTTTCCACACCATTTCCATGCTCGTTAAAAGATTTTATACCACAATGCTTCAGCTGTGAGGCTACACACACAAACACTTGCCAAAACCAAAGAAAACCAAGTTAACATCTACAATACACATGGGTCGGTAATGCACCTTTAGGAAATCAGCCAGGAACCTACTTACTTAGAACAACAGTAAGAAAGGATTGTAGATGTAACATTTGTTTTATGTGACAGCTAATCCTGTTTTCAAGAACATTTCAAGATACCTTTGTTTGATCCTGCAAAACTGCAAAAGGTATCCTCGTATCTACTGCTAACTTTTATTTTAAAAATGTTGAGTTTTGCCCGTAGGAGAGGCCAGGACACAGAAAAAGATGGAGCAGAAATGTTGGTTTTTTTGGTTGTTTTTTTTTTTTTTTTTTTTTTTTTTTTTAGAAGCCCTTTAAAACATGGAAAAATGTTGAGTTTTGCCCGTAGGAGAGGCCAGGACACAGCAAAAGATGGAGCAGAAATGTTTGGGTTTTTTTTTGCAGAAGCCATTAACAACATGGAAGCCCTACCACACACAGGCCACTGGGAAAGGTAACTTCTTTCCAACTTTGGGTGACATTTGCTCAGAGCAGCATCAAACATGAGATTAATTTCCAGTAGCAGACCTTACCCTCCAGACTTCAGAAACTGACACTTTACGCATTTTAAAAATGCGGAGGGGGATCAATCGATCACCACAGAACTGTTAGAAGATGCTGACCAGATTGAAAGCCTTTCTCTCCTTCTTTGCAGTTTACATATTCATAGATCAGAGAATAACTTGGACTGGACCATGATCCTGTACCACCATCCTGACATTGTACAACAGGCTTCAGCTCTAAACCACCATCGCTGCTTGTTGTCCTGAAGCTACCTTACACCACACACGTGGGGAATACATGTTTTCTTCTAGGTGGTTATGAAGAATTATCAGCTAGTACACCAGCAACTGCTTACAGCACCTACCAGCCTTGTTTTCATTCTCCCCTTGGTGGTAACAAGGCTACCAAATTTGACAACCGATTACAAGAATGGGGAATAGTAAAATGGTATTCTGTAAAGAAGGAATTTAATGTATTTTTGAACAAGTTCACACAGCCTTACCAGTCAGTCTTTGTATTTCTTTTAATGGTCTTAAATAAGAACAAGATGGTACAAAACAGACCCTACCAAACCTAACACCGTGCAAAAACACGCTGTATTATATATGTTTTACTACTTCATCAATTTCTCCCTAGTTTAGCCTCAGTGACAAGAAATCATACTTAGCTATTGTCAAGAACATTTTCTTTATTCAGCTCTTGTAGCTTCTCAGTCGCAAAGGGAAGTGCTTTGAATGGGGTTATTACTGCCAGTGCTGTGAAACAAGAACAGCTTGGAGAATTTCCTTTAATCCCCTAGAGAATTAACACTAGCCTCTTCCTAGCTCTGCTTCCAAGACAGCGGTAGCAACAGGTAGATTTTTAGCAACAGTCAAATATATCGCTCCTGCCTACGCCATCAGCCCCTAGCACAAGGTCACTGTGATAGAGAAACATTTAAAGAAAACAGGTATTGAAAGGATACCCTCTAGGGTAACTTTTTACAAGGGCCTGTAGCGACAGGACAAGGGGTAACAGGTTTAAATTGAAAGAGAGGAGATTTCGATTGGATATCAGGAAGAAATTCTTCCCGGAGAGGGTGGTAAGGCACTGGAACAGGCTGCCCAGAGAAGCTGTGGATGCCCCATCCCTGGAAGTCTTCAAGGCCAGGCTGGATGAGGCTCTGAGCAACCTGGTCTAGTGGAAGGTGTCCCTGCCCATGGCAGGGGGGTTGGAACTAGATGGTCTTTAAGGTCCCTTCCAACCCAAACCATTTTGTGATTAAAGCACCAAGATACAGCATGTGGGTTTAAACAGAGGATACTGTAAGGTAAGAGTAATTCAGGCAAATGAATGAAAACGATAAAAAGTGAGCACGCATTAATGGGAGAAAACAGAAGTAAAAATGTCTCTCAGCACACAGTAACAGAAGACAGCTACCCACGTGGATTTGGTAGGTTCGCAGCACGAGCAGTGAGAAGACGACTTTTTAGCAGATAGATAAAAATATTTAAGAATGAGAAACTTTTACAGGAGTTCATGCTGTTTGTAAATAAAATTACATAGAAGGAGGAAGTTACTTATTTTTAAAGACATTCCAATGACTTCTTGTCACTCCTTGCTTTGCTCTTCTAAGAATGGGGAAGAGGGAAATAAACCAAAGTGAATAACCAAAAAACCCCACACATTCCTGCAAGACAGCTCAGTTTCCATTCCCAGTGTCCTTTGACCATGCCTGACAGACCACCACAGTGGAAGATGATCTTTCACACGTGAAAAGCACTGGAGTTCCAGGAGAAGGTGCTTGATCAAGTGGGGTTTGGCCAGTTCCAAAAAACCCTTTCAGCAAGGCATTCAATTACATTCAAACATTAGCCGACAATAAATACCATGCAAGCAAACAAACCTGGATTTTAAGAGTACCCTCCAGATATAAGATTAAATTCGTTTTTACTCCCCCTTTTGCCACTCTGAAAATGCATCAGTTCAATTAATCTAGACAAATTAGACACAACACAAATCTTAAAAAGGGAAGCGTTTAGGGAAGACAACATTCAGTAACATCTCAAAGCAGATGCGTTTTACCTGAAGACAACAGTTTCCCATTCCAAAACCCATAGCATCCATGTATATATAGTCTGGCTTAGCTGCCTTTGCTGCTTCTCCATCATCATTAGGAAACGTTTCGATAAACGGTGATGGCGTGTTCTTATCTTTAAATACTGTGTGGAAAATGCAGGTACTCAGTAACCCAGAGCATCGGACTGAACAATTACTTTGAAAGAGACAGACAGACTGAATTTACTCACTCGGTACATTTATCGCAACCTTCTCTCCTCTCCGGTGCCGAATGTTTCTGGTCAGTGTACTACAAAAAAAAAAGTTTGCCAAAACAACTTAAAGTCCCTCTTTATGCAAATGTTTTTGCAGTTAGTTTCTCAGCAATTCTCAGGGTTTCAGACTGTCAGCTTTCCATTTACTTTGAGCATTTTCCCTCAGGACACAACACTTCCCAGTTTAAGGTAGACTGTAACAGATACAACACTGAATTTTTCTTCAGTGAAGTCAATATTATTTTGATGAACTTCATAACACTATGCTAACAGAACAGGCAGAAGTAAAAGGCTATCAACCTGAGGAACACAAGGGCAAGTCAAAAGGTACTCTTAGTTTTTAGGCAGAATGATTTTCATTCTCCAAAGTCTCACCTTACAATGAAACTCCCCCTCTCAGACTATAAAAGTAGCTTGGATCTATGTCTGAGTAACTAGGTGTGCTGGCTTTAGTTACTCAGTTCCAACCCCCCTGCCATGGGCAGGGACACCTTCCACTAGACCAGGTTGCTCAAAGCCTCATCCAGCCTGGCCTTGAAGACATCCAGGGATGGGGCATCCACAGCTTCCCTGGGCACCCTGTTCCAGTGCCTCACCACCCTCTCCGTGAAGAACTTCTTCCTGGTATCTGATCCACACCTCTCCGCTTTCAATTTAAACCTGTTACCCCTTGTCCTGTCACTACAGGCCCTTGTAAAATGTCCCGTCCCCCCCAGCTTTCTTGTAGGGTCCCAAGGTGGCCACACAGATCTCTACTGCAGTAAGCTAAAGAAGTTGCAGGTATGCACCTATGATACTTAGGCAGAGAAAAACATTCAGCTTCTCATTCACACTCCCCAAATATTCTTACCTAAATCTAGGATGTTTGTTGATGGCTTCATCTGGAAAAAAGAGGGATTTTGAAGCTCCTCCTTCTACTGGCGTTGGCTGATATTCTGGCAGTGTAAACCCAGGACACCCTAACCTGTGTAACACAATAATGAGATCCAAGCTGTAATGAAAACAGACTGTGATTTTAAAACGGTCAGGTGACTGGAAATTAGGATTCTAGTAGACAAAGGAATAAGAGTTTTTTTTTTAAAACTTGCATCTACCATGAGTATTTCTGAAGTACTTTTCAAGACTCCTACCTATGCACATGGAATTGCCAAAAAGAGGTCTTAAAACAGTTGCTGCTAAAGGGCACCGCCTGCTAACAACCAGCTTCTGTGATGATTAAGAACGACACCTCTGTTTTAAAAAAAAAAAAAAAACACAAAAAAAACCCCACAAAACAAAACCAAAAACAAAACACACTACATGAACAAGAGATACATGGACCTTTTCATTGGCTGACACATGATATTTCACAGTATTATGCTGAGTCCACACACATTTTAGTGTGTTAGCAGCACCAATCATTAATACTGACATGGAGCTGCATGCTGCCCCTTGAACAGTTTCTCTAGAGGAAACAGGTTAATGTTGACTGTTGGAGTAATTTATCCAGCTGCTCTCAACAATCTACCCCTTGTTAAGAAGATGTGCCTAACCAACTCTGTAAGAATTAGAAGTAGTTTCAAGTGATATACACATCCCAAGTTGCACAGCAGTTTGTGATTTTAGAACTCTGGAAAAAAAAAACCAAACAAAAACCATGAACAAGAGATGTGACAAATCACTTGACACGACAAGGGGTAACAGGTTTAAATTGAAAGTGGGGAGGTTTAGATTGGATATCAGGAACAAGTTCTTCACAGAGAGGGTGGTGAGGCACTGGAACAGGTTGCCCAGAGAAGCTGTGGATGCCCCATCCTTCAAAGTGTTCAAGGCCAGGCTGGACGAGGCTTTGATCAACCTGGTCTAGTGGAAGGTGTCCCTGCCCATGGCAGGGGGGTTGGAACTGGATGGTCTTTAAGGTCCCTTCCAACCCAAACTATTCTGTGATTCTGTGAAGTGTAATAAGCCAAGAAAAATTACAGCTGTTGTGTATAAAAAGCTGAGAGATGTGCAAGTAAATCAGAATACAACCCTCTCCTTTGGAACTTCCACTGCAAGTTTAAGAGACATCTGAAACAAGAGTAAGTAGATTTTCAGTACAACTGAGACAAAGGACCATTTGAGAAGTTGGAGGTAAAGTTGCAGAAGATTAACTTCCCCAATATGCACAGTATAAAGGACAAAGATTGTGCTATCTTGACAGGCTCTAGTATTTGGATGTACAAAATGGATTAGCTGATACAACTACAAACTTGTGCTATCTTGACAGGCTCTAGTATTTGGATGTACAAAATGGATTAGCTGATACAACTACAAACTACTCAAATTACCAGGAAGCACTCACATTTCTGGTAAACTACTCAAAATACCAGGAAGCACTCACATTTCTGGTAATACTATTTACCCTTAACATGTATTTAACTATTGGTTTCTTCTTCCAGGTGTATGCGTACAAGCCGTCCTACAACATGGAAACCCAAACCTCATCAATTACATTGGTGCAACATTGTAAACTGCATCATTCCAGTCTTGAAGAAGGAAAACAGCTTTCTGGTCCAGTAGCTAGGGCTCACAAATTGTAAGAGCTAGGGACACTCATTTAGCTTTTAGTATTTTTTAATATTTAAGCATTTTCAGGTTTGTTCATTTTAAACCGAGTTATTTTAATTTGAATAAGCCTACTTCTTTACCTCTAACTTTTTTGGTCTTCTGTGCTGGGTTCAGCCAGGAA